GTTAGAGAGCGTTTTAGGATCAAATATTAAAGTTTATTTGCTTGGTTCTTTTGAAAAAACTGATTAGGTTTAGTCACACCTCTATCGTAGAAGCCCAAGGGTATAGAAGCCTTAAGTATGTGAAGCGAAACATATAATATAATCAGCCGTAGTGTAAGAATGTTACACTATTTAATTGAGTTTACGAATTACATGTTGAAAAAATAGCTCATATGTCAGTGGTGTGAGCGTATGTATCTTTGTGGCTTTGTGGCTTTGTCTGTTCAGATGTGTGTTGCACGGGCCAATAAGCTTAAAGGAACTATGAGTTGATTCTTAGGAACCAATGAGATCTTGGCATCTTAACATGACATTGCTAAAGGTCAAAAAAGGGAAATTTGAGACTGCCATCTTGATTCTTCACAATGTATCCGTCTTTTATTACGGCTACAAGGGTTTAGAAGCATTACATTTACGTATCCTCATGATTCAAACGCTGTATATGTTTAAGGGTTCATATTTTAGTGTGGGTGCTGCTTCAAGACATTTCTGACCTAATCCGGCTATGGCGGACAGTGCAACGCACGTATAGATCGTTTTCACTGTCATGCACCAAAAATATGAATTGGAAACCGTCCAGTGGAAGAAGTCAAGAAAATGAAATGTTATAAAAGGCTAATATATAAACAATTTGTCCAAGTCTGAGGTCTTTGCGGCCCACAGTTTCTGAGTTATTTGCCGAAACGTTTCACGCACCTTTGCAGAGCTTTGTATGGAGACGCCATATTGGTGTACGGTTTTGGTGCACCAATATGGCTTCCGGAATTCAACAAAACATCTGGAGTTCACGTTTTCAGAAAATCAAGAGGAGAGACATTTTATTCCACGAGACAGCATTCCTATTTTGATGTCACGCACTGTGAAAACTCGGAAGTTCAAATGGCTGTATTTTCGAAATGAAACATGCTACGGAAATGGAAACTTGTACAAAGATTTACTTTTTGTCTATCTTCAACCTAGTGTGAATAAGAATTCGTAAAACCTCGTTATTTTGACTTTACAATCTGATGACGTCACTGTGAAAACCATCTATTTCATAATTCAGGAGTTCTGTTTCACCTACTTCAAGGCAGTGTATGAAAGATCATATATTTTCAAAGTTCTTTAAATGAAACAATAATTGGTATTTAGATATGGACTTTCATTCGAAAGTATGTGGTCTGTAAATTGTGGTTTCAGAAGTTTGAAAGACAGCTTGTTTTTGTTTTTTTTTGAAAGCTGTACCGAGATGCGAGGAAATGCGTGTACGTTAGGTTTCCGCCGTCAAAACGGCCGTTATTCTTCTGAAAAGTATCTGTGAATTCGTGTTTAATAGGGCTCGATCAACTTTACACAGGTCGTGCTGGCGGAAGTTCTAGGGAAAAGCCTTTGCATAAAATATTATCGAGGCTTTCGTAATGTTTTTCCCGTGGCGTAGTGGTAACCAAACGGCCTGGCGCGTTGAAGGTCCCGAGTTCGTTTCCGGCTAGAACATATTTTTTCTTTTCTTCTTCTTCTTTTTTTCTTTCTATTTCTTTCCCTGCGATTCACGTATTTCTAGTTTTAACCAAATTTTTGTTAAGCCCGGGCTTAATGGCTTAAAGGCAGCTGCGCCACTGGTGTTAAAATGAAATGAAACATTTTTTCTAAATTTGGTCAACACCAGAAGCCGCTAACTGGCTTTAAAGAATAACCGGTGGGTTTAAAGACCAATCAGAGAAAGAGAAATATTTGAAAGCCTTATGATAGGAGATCATTTTGAATTTCGGCCAATACAGTTGAACTCTGTTAATACAGTCATCAATGGGTCAAAAAAAAATTGGCCGTATTAACGAGGGTTTTTGTTTCAAGAAAATGAATGGCGGTTTTGCCAGGCGGCCAAAAAAAGTGGCCGTAATAACGAGGTGGCCGTAAGGCGGGGTTTCGCTGTATCTATTTCCAGCTTTTGACAGGTCCTGAAAGCACCACATTATATTAAAAAAGACGCTATGGGAGCGTGCACTTCGGCGTTGTGGTTGTGGATTAATTGTGAATGCGGAGGAATAATAAGAAATGATATTTTTCCGGATACCCTTCCATACAAATACCCCCTACTTTTGTCCTTGTGTGTAACAGACATCTTAAGTTCTTCACCGGAAGTCTGCTAGGTGAATGACCGCGTAGCTGTAACCCAATTCGATTATAATTTCTGTAATGAATAAATTGCGCACGACGAGATCTGTACAGTACCGCAAATGAACCCTGGCGGCAATTGATCCCCAGATAGAAAATGATCCCTAGAATGGACCGCAAATGATCCTCGACCGTAAGTGATCCCGAGAAGAAAATTTGGAATAGCTTGAACTCAAGTTACTGGATCATCGCGTCAAGTTTATTATCATTACAAATAGAATATTCAACTGAACAAATTTTGTTTCACATGCAAATGAATGTATAATAAAAAAAAGGAAAGTGACTGAAAAAAATCCATTTAAAGCTTTTTCAATCAAAGAAACACAAATACACCTTTCAGTAAACTGAATAAGACTTCAAGATGCCTTAGTGAAAGAGATAATAATAATAATAATAATAAAGTAATAATTAAGTCTTTATTCATCAAAAGATAAAAACACCTACCTTTTGTTACAAGTAAGCGTAAGAAATTTTAAGAACGTAAAAGGTAAGAATTAAAAAAAATCTAGTATATTACATAACTAATTTTAAGAAGATTTTTCTCAAATTCGATCTACAGGATACTGCCGAAGAACTTGAAAAAATAATATTTTTTAATATCGCGAAAGTCCTTGGAACCGAAATTTAGTCCTATGGACCGACCCAAGATAATTACTTACTCTATTGCGACCCCTCTTACAATAATTTCCGCTTACCCGTGCCATCGTTCATCCCCTGATTTTGTGTCTTTGTCACTGTCTCTCCAACAACAAAAGTACAAAAAATGAATACACAAGTTAGTCAGGCTAGTATCGACGGCGACCTTATAACTAGCCTCGACATGTTGATGAGTTTTAGTTTTTAGTTGCTAGTCAGTTGTATTTCGAATTAAACCGAAAACCTGTTCAGAGCGATAAACATGTTTCCATGTTCCCGCATTTTGACATTTGTTTATATTACTTGTTGTTCCGGGTTCCGTATGTATGAATGTCAGACTGTTAATCACATTCTGTAGACTCAAAAGAAACTACAGGTGTCCCAAATTTCGGGCGTTAAAACTTTTGATCAAAACTTTATTCTTGCATGAAATTTTTAGAAGGTGTTTATTGCTCTATCGAGTGCATGGTGTTCAGAATTTCAGTAACCGGCATTCCCCTTGGTTATTTTATCACATTCTGTAGCCGTTGCAGCATGGAGTGGGATACAGCATGTAGAGCCACAGATGACTCTATTTTAAGAACAACATTCTTTTTCCCCTCAAAGCGTTTAGGCAACTGGAAAATATATACTTTAAGCATTCATCCAAAAAAGATAATCATCCCAGCCCCTATTCACAGTAACGCTTTTGTACCTCTTTACAGATTTGAGACGAGCTGATCGTTGTTTTGCAGACTAAGCAGAGGTTTTGTTGCCATCTCACGGGCCTCTAACCTTCGCTTTTCATGAAACTGCTCTAGACATGGCTTGCAAACTATTGTGAGAGCTATCTCGTCGAGTTGTCTCTTTTGTATCTAACCTTCCTCAAAACTATTTTAGCCGATTTATTGAGGACTATCAGTCTTCCCCTTCTTTTTTTATCTTCAAAACCTTCATTTCTCCATGACTATTTCACCACCGAAAATTCGGATTTTTCCATTTTTTTATCTGTTATTTCTACTGAAAAGCCGGTAAATCGAAGCAAACATGCTTATGCTCTCACGCAGCTGAACGTTTTTGCGTTTAGAGGGTTTTTTTTTCATGATATTCCCAAAAAACAAGGAAGGAGTTTGAGCAAATGGGGCTACAAAATACAAAAAATATGTGGCGGGAAAATGTACTCGCGCACGCGCACCTTGGAGCGGAAGTACACAAATATCGAATATTAGAGTCACAAGATGGCACAACAAGTATAAAATATTAAATTTTATTGAAAGACACAACTTTTGCTTAAGCGATTTGCTTACCAATTCCAATCTTACTACATTACAGTCTTATAAAGTAGAGGAACGAACTTTTGGGACACCCTGTAAAATGTTTTGAAAATAAATACTTGAGAACACGAAATTTACTAGTCCTTAAATCTCCTGTTATGTAGAAGGTGCCAGACTTTCTATTTCCAGACAATTTCAGCTCTTCGGCGTTAAAATAAGAGCCGGACAAGTTATTAATACTGCTACTCTGTTTCCTGCCTAACGTCCTTTCACAGCAGCAAAACATGGGAACTTACTAGAAACAATTGTCAAAAGAAGCAGAATGGTTTAAACTATGGTTTTATTCATTTCACCGTTTTACGCTTTGTTCTAGTACTCAGCACCTTTCATCATCCAAGTCTAAAATCCATTCCATTCCTCCACTTTTCACGGGATCTTTTTCGGTGGACAGTGGGGATCATTCAGCTGATCATTTGCGGTACAGTACAGATCGATCTCAGTTCCACTTCTTTTATTTCCTCTACAACTAGGAGTAATCGGAGCTTAGACAGTTAACTCGTCTGCGAAGTGAGACGCACTGAAAATTGCTTTAACTTGCATCTCGATTTCGCTCGAATTTTGAAGCTACTAGCCCAATTGGCTTCAATGTTTTCCGTAAAATACTTTTGCAGTCAATATTTCCAGCCAGAATAATAATAAGAATAAGAATAAATCAAAGAACTCGAAGATATCTCGAACTAATTTCGAAGCAACTTCAGGACATCCGAATGCAACTTTGAAACATTCCTGAGCCTCGCGAATCCTTTACTTCGCGATCCGCCGAAGTAACTAGCTTTCGGATTCCACAAGCAAAAATTTCCCGGAATTCGGATGACCTCTCATGAGGCGATCACGCGACTTTTAAGACTATCAAATAACCTC